TTAAGGACACTGACTGCTATTCAATCTATAAGAGTGAAAAAAGTTTTTTGTTTTTAAATGCAAGCTATTGTGACACAAGTGAGTGAGTGGTGGCACTGGGCACCGTACCCACTGTGAGCCTGACACACCCGCTTTAAGGACACTGACTGCTATTCAATCTATAACAGTGAAAAAAGTTTTTTGTTTTTAAATCCAAGCTATTGTGACACCAGTGAGTGAGTGGTGGCACTGGGCACAGTATCCTGGGCACAGTATCCACTGTGAGCCTGACAGACGCTGGCAGACAACTAACTGCTATTCAATCTATAACAGTGAAAAAAGTTTTTGTTTTTAAATGCAAGCTTATTGTGACACCAGTGAGTGAGTGAGTGGTGGCACTGGGCACAGTATCCACTGTGAGCCTGACACACCCGCTTTGAGACAACTAACTGCTATTCAATCTATGACAGTGAAAAAAGTTTTTTGGTTTTAAATGCAAGCTTGCCAGACACCAGATATGAGTGTGGTGGCGCAGTGACTCAAGTAGCAAATAAGCAGTATCCACTGTGAGCCTGACACACCCACTTTGAGAAAACTAACTGCTATTCAATCTATAACAGTGAAAAAAGTTTTTTGTTTTTAAATGAAAGCTATTGTGACACCAGTGAGTGAGTGGTGGCACTGGGCACAGTATCCACTGTGAGCCTGACACACCCACTTTGAGAAAACTAACTGCTATTCAATCTATAACAGTGAAAAAAGTTTTTTGTTTTTAAATGCAAGCTATTGTGACACCGGTGAGTGAGTGGTGGCACTGGGCACAGTATCCACTGTGAGCCTGACACACCCGCTTTAAGACAACTAACTGCTATTCAATCTATAACAGTGAAAAAAGTTTTTTGTTTTTAAATGCAAGCTATTGTGACACCAGTGAGTGAGTGGTGGCACTGGGCACAGTATCCACTGTGAGCCTGACACAGAAGCTGGCAGCAGTGGCAGACAACTAACTGCTATTCAATCTATAACAGTGAAAAAAGTTTTTTGTTTTTAAATGCAAGCTATTGTGACACCAGTGAGTGAGTGGTGGCACTGGGCACAGTATCCACTGTGAGCCTGACACACCCGCTTTGAGAAAACTAACTGCTATTCTGTGACAGACCCATCTGTATGTACTAAAAGCACTGTGTTCGTCTGTTTTGCCGTTTGCATGAATACCCTCATTCGTATGCTTTGTTTAAGGGAATGTCTGTTTTTTGTCGAATGGAACTACCAAACGGACGGCCACCCAGAAGAGAAGTGTGCTGCTGGTTAACCTATTGATCCCAATTAGAACGTTGCGGTTAACCACAGACACTTCTCAATTAAAACCTAATACCGGTTGGTCGTCGTTCGTATGACCACGAGGCGGCGGCCATTTTAACCATGCGAAAGACCAGCGTTGTTCGACGGTTATTTCATGGAACTGAAAACGGACACTTTTTCAACCGAACACCGCTGAAGCCGTCGACCTCCCGTTCTCAATCGACAAAAGCATACGAATGCCAGCCGTTCGGGAGATTCAACAACACGAATGGACTTAAGCCAGATAGCCTTCCCATGGAGTCAATCGCATACCGAAGAACTGTAATAGACTTTGACTCCATGGCGATTGAACTATGAGAATGGGATCTGAGCGCTATTCGCCAATAATATGCACTCAGATCCAGACATCTGGGGATGTGTTACACGAATGCAATATGCTCGGCAATTAGAAAGTTATGTATTTTAATGTGTTTTATAACTTTGAGTTAAAATGGCGATTTGCCTCTGCTCGGGGAGATAATTGAATTACTTCCCAATTATCTCCCGAGCAGAGGGAAGGGAACTGTGATGCATGCTGGGAATATTGTGGGGATGTATGTCTGAAATGTCCCCATGTCCTTCTGTTATTCCAGTCTCCCATTTGGTCCCCTAGGGGAGTGTCCACCAAGTGGGAGACCTGCATAAATACCGGGCAGGTAGCCCGCAGTAAATCAGTTCGTGTTTTACCCTCAAAGCGGAGCTTGGTCTCGTTATTGGGGGGATTTTATTACCGGCGCCTAGAGACTGCTTATTGGAATTATTTGCCGCTTGGAAGATATTGGCGTTCGGCTAATATTGGCAGTTCGTGGATTTGGAGCTCGTGAAGGGAAAGAGCCGTACAGGTACCGTTCGGGAGTTTGGAGTGTTCCCTAGCTGGCGGTTCGCATGGTTATACTGTACATGCTACCAGACCACATTATTGCGAACGGGGAGCATTCACTAAACGGCGGTTTGTACATTTATTACTGGAGGTACCGTAACATATTCAATCTATAACAGTTTTTGCAAGCTATTTAAAAACAGATTGATGCAAGCTATTGTGACACCAGATATGAGTGGTGGCACTGACTGGGCAAATGGGCACAGTATCCACTGTGAGCCTGACACAGAAGCTGGCAGAAGTGTGAGACAACTAACTGCTATTCAATCTATAACAGTGAAAAAAGTTTTTTGTTTTTAAATGCAAGCTATTGTGACACCAGATATGAGTGGTGGCAGTGACTGGGCAAATGGGCACAGTATCCACTGTGAGCCTGACACAGAAGCAGGCAGCAGTGGTAGACAACTAACTGCAATTACATTACACAGAAAAAAAAAAGCAGACTGATGTTCTAGCCCTAAAAAGGGCTTTTTGGGGTGCTGTCCTTACAGCAGAGATCAGATGAGTCCTTCAGGACTGTAGTGGACACTGTATACCCTAACCTAGCTATGCATTTCCTTATCTAATCAACAGCAGCTACACTTTCCCTCCTCTCACTAAGCATGCAGCTTGAGAATGAATCTAAAATGGATGCTGTCCAGTAGGTGGGAGGGTCTGCTAGGGAGGGTGTGCTGCTAATTGGCTGAAATGTGTCTGCTGACTGTGAGGTACAGGGTCAAAGTTTACTCAATGATGACGAATAGGGGGCGGATCGAATCGCGCATGTGTTCGCCATCCGCGGCGGACGCGAACAAGCTATGTTCGCCAGGAACTGTTCGCTGGCATCACTAGTTATAGATTGAATAGCAGTTGTTGTCTCAAAGCGGGTGTGTCAGCCCTACAGCGTGTACCCTGCCAACCTCTGCCAGTTCACATAGCCACTCATATCTGGTGTCACAATAGCTTGCATTTAAAAACAAAAAACTTTTTTCATTGTTATAGATTGAATAGCAGTTAGTTGTCTTCAAGCGGGTGTGTCAGCCCTACAGTGTGTACTCTGCCAACCTCTGCCAGTTCACAGTGCCACTCATATCTGGTGTCACAGTAGCTTGCACGCATAGTACCACTAATCGGAAAAAAAATGACAGGCAGAGGCAGGCCACCCCTACACTACGCACTGGGTAAACCTGCTGACGGCTGCCAAGCATGGAATGCGTGGCTCTGCAGAGGAGTTGGTGACACCGCCACGACTTGCAGGCAGGCCTGCTGCCACCTCCTCTACTCCTCCTACTCCATCCTCTTCCATAACCTCCTCGGCTGAGTCCTCTTCTGCTGCATCTTGCTCCACATCAACGGATAGGGGACGTAACAGGGATTAAACTGATAAGAATAGTACTTTTGCAATGTAATGCATGCAGAAGCAAAACACAGAGATATGGACACAAGTCTTCAGGAAGTAAGAGGCCTTTATTCACATTACCGATCGGGTCTCAGATGAACTCCTGTTCCAAATGATCTGAGGGACAAATACCTGTGGCTTGGGACTTTTGTTAACTGCATATCTCCTCCCATACAGTATAACCCCTCCTATATTCCTCAGACCAATCAATGAGCAGAATATAGACTTGTACATCTAGTCAAACCACATGGCTCATCCAAGACAAAGGAAATAAGTGCAATTTCAGTTCCTGCATTTCTGCACATGCTTAGTACACTGATGACAGTATCCTAGCTACGTGTAGCTAACTAACTGACACAACATACACATATGCCACATGGAGATTTTGGCCTACTAAATTTTGACCATGCTGGAATCCCATCACATTCCCCCCTTTGATGCCTCTGATATAACATTATTCCAGATGCATCACCAATCACAGTTTTACCTACATCTCTCAAGTAGCCATTGAACCAAAGTAGACCTTGTAAGCATCTTAAAAACTCCTTCAACATTCTTCATCCTGAATATATTCTCTTTGGGCTAGGGGATCATATCTTCCAGACAGCCATTACATGGGCAGCTGTCTTTCTCTCTATAGTACTCTCTATAATACTACGTAGGGACCTGACCACTAGTGGAATTAGACAGGGCAGGAGGAGGCACAAAAAAATATATAATAAATTCTACTCCTCCTACTAATGTCTTAATTCCTCCAAGCTGCTCATACCAACTTCCAAACCAACTACTTAGGTTATACCCATTCCAGACCTGAGTAGGTACATGCACAAATTTAACCATGTGGTTTGTAAGTTCAGCCACTGCCTGCCCTTCATCATCTATGTGCAGACAACAGTTACTTAGATTAAACTTTCCGCCTACACCTCCTTCTACTGCTAGTAAGTAATCAAGGGCTAGCCTATTCTGGTATATGGCTGATCGCATCTTGGTATTTTGCTTAGCTAGAAGATTAAGCACTTGTGCTGTCTCATTAGTGATAATCTCAACTACCGCCTGTAGTCTAATAATGTGGTTGAGCATATATATATCAGAGTTCTATATCCATAAGTGCCATCTTCTGCCCAAGTAGTAGGTCCATGAGAATTAATAATACGTTGGTGGGGCCACTCATCATCTTCCCAGCTACCTATATTCAAGGATGCTCTCTTCTTTTTATGATTTACATCGTAAACCTTAACTCCCAAGGTCTCTCCTGTCTTGAATGGCAACAAGAAGAAGGATGGCTTTGGCATACCTAATACACATGCCCCTTCCCCAATCTTGTGGTAACTCCGAATAAGTTTTCTTACCACAAATCCAGTGTAAATTTGCTGGGGCTTTCCAACTAGATGTAGCCGATAAGTCAAACCATACCTACTTTAAATGAGTGTAATTGGCAAACGGATTAGTAGGCTCCGAGACATTTGAAGCTGACCACTAAGTAGTATTTTTAGTATTAACATTTAGACTCACCTGATATTGGCTTGCACACACTATAATCAATATCCAAATATCTACATATAGATACAGATCCCTTACATTCATACCGTGAGTGCCAGATGAGAGTTTGGGATATTTGGTTACCTGTTTTAGTAGTCTTAATGCAACTATCGCAATTCGGTATGTCTGTACTCCTACCTTCCTGAAAAATCATAAAAAGACACATAATAAAACACATTATTTCTGAAATCCTCATTTTTCTTCGACCGTGCAATGGCCTCTCAGCTTCCCGATTGTGAGGGCTGCAAGGATGTTGTTCTTCTGATCCTCACTTTCCTTCACAGAGATCCCTTCGAGATACTCTGGCTATGACACGTAGGCAGGTGGTCAGGCTTTATTATGGCCGTCAAAACACCTACTTGATGATCTCTGTAGACTTTTAACTAGAATGTCTTGATATCCCCTCGTACTTTTTCTTACGACATGTTCAATCCAACTGGGTTATGCGCTTCAACCGGATCCTGGAAGGATTCTCAGGATCTGGAGTAGCTTGCCAAGAGTCTGCCGCTGGTTTAACCTTAGAATGATGAATCCAAGGAGTCACTTCCGCCACCTTTACAGCTGTTGGGGTAGATAAAAGAACAACATACAAAGGCTAACAGGATACACCCCGAGCTTTAACTCAATATGTATTGGTGGGATATTACGAGCAAGTCCTGGAGGATTATTTTCTGCCCATACTCCTGGAATGTCAAATAAGGATTCATCACTCTTAGGGTTAACACTTGTCACTATGGAATAGAAGCATCATTCTTCTTCCCTTGGCACCGATATCGCCATTATGCCTGGTAATCCTTTAAACTTCAGAGATGTTGATCCATTAGGTAAAAGGTTATCTGAGCTTAAAGCTTTGATAATAGATCTCGTCCTAAAAGTTGAATCGGATACTCTGGCATATATAGGAACTAATGCTTCACCACATGGCCTCCCAGAATACAAGTGCGACTCTTAAGAACCGGTCTAGCTGCACTTCTCCCAGTAGCTCCTATCACAGTTATAGTCTTCCCTGAAGGCGGAGCCACCATCTCAGTCACCACAGAATGTTCAGCACCTGTGTCGATCATGAAAGAACTTCTCTTGGCATTTGGTAATGTCTGGATGGAAGGGTGCCAGTCAGTTGTCGGGTTAATATGGGACTTCGGCAAGGCTGCTCAATAATAGGTTCCAGTCTGGGAGTAGT